TGTGTGTGTGTGTGTGTGTGTGTGTGTGTGTGTGTGTGTGTGTGTGTGTGTGTGTGTGTGTGTACATTACTCTCTTGTAACACTTCTAGATCTACTCTTCGGCCCTTATATTATGTTGCAAGTGCCTCAAAACTCTAACTAAAACTAACACTGAGTACAGTCTAACTTGTCCGAGACGACAACCCGTTGTTGAGGAGGAAGGTGGTTATTTTCAATATGCGATCTTCTTGGACAATGACAAAATATTTAGTTTGATGAAACAGAGATAAACACAAGGGGAGGAATGGGAAGTGGTCGTTTGTACAGGTGACTGTCGTAGACAGGTGGTCGTTAGAACAGGTTCTACTATAAAAAGAAGCACATGGACACTCTGTTTTCCCCACGAACAAACTAAGACTGATCTGTTTCCCTCCCCAGCCACGCCGCTCGGCGGTCTGCCCATCCTGGAGATCAACGGAAAAACTTTCGTACAGGGCCTGGCTTTGGCAAGTTTCCTCGCCAGAGAGAACGGTCAGTTTGTTGTTGTTGTTGTTGTTGTTGTTGTTGCTGTTGTTGTTGTTGTTGTTGTTGTTGTTGTTGTTGTTGGTCGTCGTCGTGGTGGTGGTGGTGGTCGGGGAGGTGAGGGTCATCGTGTGGTTGTTGTTGTTGGTGGTGGTGGTAGTGGCGACTAGCCACTCCAAAACATAGAATTAAAATGCATCCTGTACAGGTTCTATCTAAATATGTACATTTTGGTTGACGTCAACTGGGGGGTGAGGTCGTTGGAAAGATGACAGAAGTTGACGGGGGTGGGGGGGGGGTATTTCTGGCCAAATTTTATCTGACGTCATTTGTGAACGGTTCCTATGTGAGAAAGTGTGATTAGGTTTAACACCCCTTGCAACACTGTGAGGTTATACGACAAATGTCTGAATTTATTGTCATTCTCCGATAGGACCAAGCTAAGTTTTAAAAAGAATGTGGAAGGAATGTGGAAAGAACGTTTCTAAAGATACAACGCCAGACCGAGCTGAGACTCAAGCCCCCCCCCCCCCCCTCTCCCAAACCCACAATCGCACTATTTCGAGTCCGGTATGACACTATAGGTACAGGTTTTGACGTGGAATCCACAAGGAAAACGTAAGAAAGGAAGACCAAAGATGACATGGAGGCGAGCGAGCGGTACATGCGGAAATACAAAATGCGGGGACAACATGGAAACAGCTAGAAAAGGATGCACAGGACAGGCTTCGCTGGAGAAATGTTGTTGATGGCCTATGCTCAACTGGGAGTTAAATAGGGCAAGAGAGAGAGGGGAGAGAGAGAGAGAGAGAGAGAGAGAGAGAGAGAGAGAGAGAGAGAGAGAGAGAGAGAGAGAGAGAGATTACACTATAGGTAGTCAAACCACTAGCCTTCCGACGTCACCTGGCCAAAGACGTCACCGCAAGACATTTGTTGAACCGTTGAACTGGTCCAAACCAAACCCGCATGTCCCTTGAGAGGCACATCCTGAGTTCTGGGTTCTTTTAAAGTGGGATTTTTTCTTCTTTTTTTTAGGTCTGCACGGAAGCAACAACCTGGAGAGTATGATGATCGATCAGATCGTTTTGTCTAAGGAAGACGTGCTGGTGGCCGAGGTCAAGGCCAAGTTTGAGAAGGACGAGGCAAAGAAGGTGAGATAGATAGATAGATAGATAGATAGATAGATAGATAGATAGATAGATAGATAGATGACTTTCATCTTTCTCTTTCAGGCTGAAGTCATGAAAGACTTGACCACAAACGTCTACCCGAAATTCTTCGGTTTCTTCATTAAAGCCATCAAAGAAAACCCGGCAAAGTCTGGCTTTGTGGTGGGGAAAAAGGTGGGTAGACCTACATTAAACATGAACGTTTCTTCAAAATGTCTGTGTGTGTGTGTGTGTGTGTGTGTGTGTGTGTGTGTGTGTGTGTGTTGTTGTTGTTGTTGTTGTTGTTGTTGTTGTTGTTGTTTGTTTAGGAAAAATTCAGCAGACAAATTTGTAGATCTATTGTTTGCTAACATGCATGCAAAAAGAAAACTCCCAATCTATTTCGATGAAAAAGGTGCGGTATTCATTACGTAAGGCATTTCAACAAAATCTCATATGGCTACCGTATCATGGCAACGAAACTTTTTTCTTTAATTTGGTTACCGATTTTAAAGACCTCCTACAATGCTTGTTATATGTGTGACATTAGGTAACATTTGATCCACTAAAAAGCGAGACAGCCTTCAGGTCCGTGTAGCCCTCCCCCCCCCCTCCCCCTGAAATAGATTTTAGTTTAGCTGGTTTAAAAGAAACAAACAACAAAACAAATAAACAACAATCCCCCCCCCCCCAAAAAAAACAACAACAACAACCACACACCAAAAAAAAACCGAAAACACAAAAAAAC